ACACATAAATGGAACATTATTCAGCCTCACCAAGGAAGGAAATCCTGTCACATGCTTCAACATGGTTGAAACTTGAGGAAATTATGCTAAGTGCAACAAGCCAGTCTCAAAAAGACAAATACTGTATGGTCCCACTTAAATGACGTATCTTCAGTAGTCAACTCCATAAAAAGCAAAATGTAGAATGGTGTTTACTGGGAGCTAGAGAAAGGAGAAAAGAGGGTATTATTTAATGGGTATACAGTTTCATATTTGCAAGATGAAATAGTTCTGAAGATCAGTTTCACAGCAATGTGTATATATCACACTAATTATATACTTTTAAATGGCCAAGATGGTTGATTTTATGTGGTTTTACCACAATAAAAATAGTAAGATACAAGATAGATTAACTGCATTAATGTTCTGTGCCCCTGTATAACTTCTCAGTCTCATCACACACTGAGTTAGGCATGGCACATAAAGCCCCATCAAAACATGCAATGTGGCTTCACAGGCTAGGTGATAAGAATAGTTTCTACCTTGCTTTCTCTCAGTTGGGACACTCACATTTGGGACCAAGCCACATGCTGTGAGGAAGCCCTAAGTAACCAATGTGGAGATGCTGCATTGAAGAGATCCATGTAGGGAAAAGTAAGACAAAACCCCCACATGCCCAGCTGACTGCCAGCATCACCTTCAACAAGAAAGAGATGGGTGGCAAGTAAGCACAGGAAAAGATGGGTCATTAGGAAAGTACCGATTAAAACCACAAAGAAATGCCACTACCCACCTACTCAAGTCACTCATATTAAATAGATAACATAGCAAATGCTGACAAGGGTGTGGAAGAATTGGTGCTCTCATATGCCACTGAAGGTAATGTAAAATGGCACACTTCTAAAATAGTTTGCCACTTTCTTTAAAAAATTAAGTATATGCTCACCACATGCTCCACCCATTCCATGCCTAGGTGTTTACCTAAGAGAAAAGGAGGCAACCTTCTTACAAAGACTTGGACGTGCTTGCTTTTAGCAGTATATATATATATATAAAATATCCCCAAACAGTAATAAACCCTTACATGTCTTCTTATAAGCTGAGCTCTGTCCTTAAACTGGAACCACTCAGCAATTAAAAAGAAATGAGCTAAACAACAGTGAGATTGCACTCCGTTCCTATTAGAATGGCTAGCATCCAACACAGGGCAACACTAAATGCCAGCAAGATGTGGAGTAACCACTGTGGAAGAGTCTGGCAGGTGCTTACAAAGCTACAGATAGTCTTGCCATATGATCTAGCGATTATGTTCCTTGCCATTTATCCAGATGAGTTGAGAACTTAGGTCCACACAAAAACTCACAGATGCTCACTGCAGCTCTTTATACAATTACCTCACTTGGAAACAAGCCCTTCAATGAATGAATAGATACACTATAGTTCATACATTGTAGCCGTATTCAGCAATTTAAGAAAATGCTATCTAAAAGACATCAAGTAGCTTAAATGCATATTACTATGTGAAAGATGTCAGTCTGTAAAGGCTGATACTGTATTACTTCAACTACATAACATTCTGGAAAAGGCAAAACTATAGAGACATTTAAAAGATTAGTGTTTGCCAGGCATTTGTGGGGAGGGAGGGAGGGAAGAATAAGTGAAGGCGAGGGTGTTTAGGGCAGAGGAACCATCCTCTGTGATGCTGTTATGGTAGGCATATGTCAGTGTACATTGCCTCATGGAATATGCAGCACAGAGTGAACCTTAATGTACACATGGACTGTAGTTAATAACAGGGTGGCAATACTGGCTCACCAATTACACATCAAAGGTACCACACTAATGCAAGATGCTAATAAGGTAAATTCTGCAGAAGTTGGGAAAGAACAAGTATTTAGGAACTTGTATTTTCTGCTCATTTTTATAAACCTAAAACCGCTCTCTGAAAAGTTTTTTTTTTTTTTAGGTAACAGTAGATTATGAGGCCTGGGATATGGTCCATTGATAGAGCACTTGCCTAGCATGTGTGAGACCCTGGGTTTGATCCCTAGCAGTGCAAAACAACAACAACAAACTATTGATATATCCAATAAAATGGATGTCTCAAAATAATTTTGCTGAGTAAAAGAAACCAGACCACAAGTAGTGAGTATATACTATATTATGATTCCATTTATATAAAATTCTAGGAAATGCAGACTAATCTAGATTGATAGAATGCAGACTCGTGCCTGCAGATGGAGAGTTGTGCTGCAGGGAGGAGGAAGAACGGCCAGGAGGGAGAAGATTACAAAGGGGTGTGGGAAAACTTTTGTGAGTGATATATATGTGATGATGGTTTCATAGGAAAATATATATGTTAAATTTATTAATTTGGCTGGGTATAGTGGTGCATGCCTTCAATCCCAGCACTTGGGATTGTCAGCCTACACTATGTGTAGCTTAGTGGTCAAGCACTTACCTATCATGAAAGTGCAAGGCCTTGGCTTTGATCCCCAGCACTATTAAAATAACAAAAGAATTACCAATTTGTATGTTTTAAATGTATACAACTTACTGTGTGTCAATTATCCTTAAGTCAAGCTGCTTCTGAAATGCCAAAACAAAAAATAACCCTACCATTTATTAATTTCTCCAGATATGGAGGCTGATGATTGGGCAGCTTTGCTTATATGGATTGGGCTTGCTCATGCGTCTGTGGTCAACTAGCAGTCAGGCTGGGGGCTGGCCAGTCTAGGAGGATTCTGGATGGGAAGTCTCAATACTCCTTCCCATGTCTCCAGCATCCCTCCCATACCCTCTGTCAGGCTGGAGAGTCCCATGCTTAGTCAGAGATTGTGTGAAGGGAGGCCATTATTGGACTTTTAATGCATTGCATACCTAAGCTATGCTTTAATTTGTATTTCTTGAATTCCATCAGGAAGATCCTTCTATGCAATGACTTATTATATATTACTTTTTTGTGGGACTGTGGTTTGAACTCAGAGCTTCATGCTCGCAAAGCAGGTGGGTGCTCTACTATTGAACCACACCTCCAGTCCATTTGGCTGTTTATTTTGGAAATGGGGTCTCTAGAACTGTTTGCCTAGGCTGGCCTTGAACTGTAATCCTCCTGATCTCAGCCTCCCAGGTATCTAGGATTATAGGCGTGAGTCATTGGTACCTGGTACCCTGGCTATTGGTTTTATGTTTGCATTAATTCTTTATATGTGGCTGATAGCAAGGTTGCAGTGACATTTGTCATATTTTCGTGTTGTGTTTATAGTTTGTTGGTCATTGGTTTTGCTATTTTCAGTTTCTAAAATGTTTTAAAATAGTTTAACTTCCGGAAAAAAAATTTAAAAATTCTCCTTTGATTCCAAATGTTATTAAATAAGTTTAAATACCCTCTCTAGTTGGGATAAATTTATTTTTTCTGTTTCCTTCTGATTAGAACTATTTTTTAAAGACACTTTATTCTAGACTGAATTTATAATATTAACCCCAGGACCAAATTAAATTGACAGCTGAGTACACATCAGACAAATGACTGATAACCAGAATATATAGGGAACTTAAAAAACTAAATTATCCCAAAACTAATGAACCAATAAAGAAATGGGCAAGTGAACTAAAAAGAACTTTCTCAAAAGAAGAAATTCAAATGGCCAAAAAACACATGAAAAAATGCTCACCATCTCTAGTAATAAAGGAAATGCAAATTAAAACCACACTAAGATTCCACCTCACCCCTGTTAGAATAGCCATCATTAGCAATACCACTAACAACAGGTGTTGGCGAGGATGAGGGGGAAAAAGGAACCCTCTTACACTGCTGGTGGGAATGTAAACTAGTACAACCACTCTAGAAAAAAATTTGGAGGCTACTTAAAAAGCTAAACATTGATCTACCAGATGATCCAGCAATACCACTCTTGGGGATATACCCAAAAGACTGTCACACAGGTTACCCAGAGTTACCTGCATACCCATGTTTATTGCAGCACTATTCACAGTAGCCAAGTTGCCACACTACTGACGAGTGGATCAAGAAAATGTGGTATTTATACACAATGGAATTTTATGCAGCCATGAAGAAGAACGAAATGTTATCATTTGCTGGTAAATGGATGGAATTGGAGAACATCATTCTGAGTGAGGTTAGCCTGGCCCAAAAGACCAAAAATCGTATGTTCTCCCTCATATGTAGGCATTAGATCAAGGGCAAACACAACAATGGGATTGGACTTTGATCACAAGATAAAAGCGAGAGCACACAAGGGAGGTATGAGGATAGGTAAGACACCTAAAAAACTAGATAGCATTTGTTGCCCTCAACGCAGAGAAACTAAAACAGATACTTTAAAGCAACTGAGGCCAATAGGAGAAGGGGACCAGGAACTAGAGACAAGGTTAGATCAAGAAGAATTAACCTAGAAGGTAACATTGCACAGGAAATCAATGTGAGTCAACTCCCTGTATAGCTATCCTTATCTCAGCTAGCAAAAACCCTTGGTCCTTCCTATTGTTGCTTATACTCTCTCTTCAACAAAATTAGAGATAAGGACAAAATAGTTTCTGCTGGGTATCGAGGGGCTGGGGGGGAAAGGGAGGGGGGAGTAAGGGAGGGGGTGGGGAAAGAGGGAAGAAATGACCCAAGCATTGTATGCATATATGAATTTAAAATAAATAATAAGTAAATAAATAAAATAAGTTGACAGCTGAGGGAAGAAAGGCTTAGAGAAGCTGGAAGATTTGTGTAAGATCATTCAGCCAGTGGTGGAGATAGGGCTTGACTTTAAGAGTTTCACATGCTAAACTGTGCCATGCCAAGAGCACACAGCTAAGTGAAATAATAAAAATCTACATTTTTTTGCAGAATGTACTTTCCACATCCGTTCTCCCTTTACCTGTTCTTCTAAAGCATAGGGGTAGGTCTATTGGTTTTGAAGAACTCTTATCCATTTAACAATGTACCAGGCACCGAGCTAGATGCTGTGAACATACAGTTGTCTGTACAACACATCCTACCCTCAGCTCACAGCCTCCGTGAGCCAGTTTGGTAAACAGGTAAATGCAATATGGCAAATGCTTTTATAATTTTAAATATTTACAAACCTGACATTTTTATATGCCATGTCTACTTTGGTGGGTTCGTGTTGTCTTGATGATGTGATGACTTTGAAATTCATTATATATTAATATTCATTGACTTGCTTTCTATCTGTTTGTTTCTTTAATCACTGGATATTTTTACTCCTGTGATACTCTATCATTCTGCCATGTGCTTTCTATATATTTCATTCTTCTTTGTCTTCTGATCACAATTGTATAACTCACTTGAGATTTGAATTCACTGAGGTGGTTTTGTCTTCATTATCTCTGATTCTTTTTTCTGATTACTTGAATTTTTGTTCCAAATTCATATTTCTAAGTTTTATTGGTGCTGTGTACTTCTTTCTAACAATCAGTATTTCCTTTTCCTTTCTTTCCCTTTTCCCCTTCCCTTCCTTTCCTTCTTCCCTTTTCCTTTCCCTTCCCTTCCCTTTTTCAAATAGTCTGAAGATTTTGCCCAGGACCAGATGTTTCTAAAAATCCTTGTACATAGATCTTATCTGTTATGTCACCAAGATAAATTTCATCAGTGCAATTCCTGGGTCAGAGGTTATATAATTTGTAATTATATATGTGTATATAATCACACACATGCACACATATACATGTATTTATTCACATGTATACATATATATAAATATACACATACAATATTCTCTAATTGTTCTGTGTGACAGTTGCCCTAGTTATACTCCCATCATATGAGTATATGGGAGTGTTGATTCCTTACAGATTTTTGGTGCTGTGTATTACCATATTCTCTCATTTTGCCAGAATGATAGTTTTTAAGCAACATAATCTTTTAATTTAGGTTTCTATCTAATTTTGAGAGAAATTTGCATTTTATGTTTATTAGCCACTTGTATTTTTTCCTGTCAACTGACCATTTATAGCCTTTCTTTCTTTCTTTTTTTTTTACTTTTTGGTGTTAATTTGTAGAATAGATTTCTATATGATGGAAATTAGCTTGTCAGATGTGTTACAAATATTTTCCTCTAGTTTGTCATTTGCCTTTTATTTTTGTAGATTCGTCTGTCTCTTTTTTATTTCTGCAATAAAATTATATTGATCTTTTTCTTTTTCGGGTCTCAGTTTTCTATTTTGTATTATACTTAGAAAAGCTTTTCAGCTATACCTAGCTTTATTGTCTTTTCCGAATAGTTGTCCAGCATCACTTATTAAATAATCTCTCTCTGAATTGAAATGTCTTTCATACTTTATGTTCTCTTATATTCCCTTATATTGAATTCTTTCTAATGATTCCAGTCTAATTTTTTTTAAATCTCTCTCTTCTGTAGTAACAACTCTTTATTTTTCTGGATTATTTTTGTTTGTTTAACGGCACCGGGAGATTGAACTCAGGGCCTTGGCTTGCTAGGCAGGCGCTCTACCACTTGAGCCACACCCTCAACCCCTGCTGTTGTTATTTTAGATAAACTGTAGAGAAGATGAAAAGGAATGGTTTTTGCCATGAAAACATAGGACATTGATGTGGAGTTTCTCCATATTTCTATAATTACACATTTAGAATGTAAGCTTTTATCATTAAAAGTTTTTTGTATTTTAAGATTATTTTGAGCCATGGATATTTTTTCACATTTTTACCCCCCTGAACAGTAATTGAATTTCAAAAATTAGCGTATGAAGATGCTGGGACCCAGGCACTTTTTGCCTGCAGGCTATGGAGGTTAGGTCTTCTGACATGAGCTCCTGCAATGCTGTGCTGTTTCCCCTCAGGCCCAGAAGCAATGGGGTCAACTGGCCATGGACTAACTGTGCCAAAATAAATCCTTCCTCTTTTAAACAAACACACAAATAGCAAAAAGCTTTATATTAGGAAAATTGCCATTATGTATTTGATAGATAAGGTAGTATCAAATATGAAAGTTAAATTCCCTTAATTTAAAAAATATTCAGCACCCATAATTAATACTGATAAAAGATACCACTTATTGGGTGCATTCAATGAGCCAGGTATTGGGATGTTTTCATTTTAAAAATAAAATGGACAAGATCAAGTAAGATTAGATTCCAGTAAGTTTTCCCATTTAAAGAAAAGGCCTCCTATCTGATCAAATGAGTCACAGGGCTGTGTCAAGTGACAGTGATTAAAGGGAAATCTCGAATCATCACATTCTTTTAGGGCTGGTGGTGTCTTCTGGGTAAGCATTTTAGCCATCATGCAGCTTCCTCAGTCTTCCAATGTTGTACACTTGTCAATGGTTAAGCAACGGTGTAGGGTAAGTATTAAGGACTGTTTACCTCTAGTGAAGCCCTTGAACTTGCTAGATGCTGACTCCTTTTCGCCCCCCACCTTCTGGAAGGGCTTATAAGAAAGGACAGCTCTCTGAAACCAGGCTCAACACCTGGGGAGGGCGGTGAGCACAGCATGCACGTGGGCGTGTGCAGAGTCCGCTTTAACTGAGATAAAATTAGATTCTCTGCCTCGGGATCCTCTTCCTAGGGGATCTTTAGGAAGAGAGGAGACCTTCAAAACAAAAAGTAAAAGTCTGTTGCTCTTTGCAAAATGCAGGATTTTTTCTCTTATATGTATCTTAAAAGAAAATTTTAAGTTTTAAACATACAGTAAAGTAGAGTTACCATTTAGCATTGAGCCATTTTTAGGTAAGAATGTAGTTCGTGTAACATACATTTACACTGTTGGGCACCTGCCAGCTTCTCCATCTTTGGGTCTCTTTTCATCATCTCAGACTGAAATTCTGTACCCATTGAACCCTAACTCACCATTACTCTGGACTTTGTCCAGCCAGGTTTATTTATAAACCTTGCAAGGCTCATTAACAAGACAAAGCACTCCACAAGCCACCTTTCCACCTTAGTCCCTCAGGAAGGCACTGGAAGGAATAAGTAGGGGAGACATGACCGAGCACAAAAGTGAGAGAGATTCTATCGGGATGAGTATGAAGGGATGCCAGATAAATAATGGGTTTATCCAAAATGAAGACATCCCAGAGAGGAACTTGGATCCAGGCAGCTCCTCTAACACCGCGCAGCACAACAACGTGAGCATCGCAGGCACCAACGAGCCTGACTTCAAGGCCCTCCGGCCCTACGCAGGGATGCCCAAGGAGGTACTATTCCAGTTCTCAGGCCAAGCCCGCTACCGCGTGCCCCGGGAGATCCTCTTCTGGCTCACCGTGGCTTCTGTGCTCCTGCTCATTGGGGCCACCATAGCCATCATCGCCATCTCTCCAAAGTGCCTGGACTGGTGGCAGGAAGGTCCCATGTACCAGATCTATCCGAGATCTTTCAAAGACAGCGACAAGGATGGGAATGGAGATCTGAAAGGTGTGTGCTCTGAGTTCAGGAGGGGATAAGGTTGGTTTATGGCCCTCAGCTTCCTTGAAACCACATTGTGCCAGGGTCTGTGGTAAGCACATTCCAGTGTGACTGGTCACCCATGTTCTTGTTTTATGGTATTTTAAAAACCACTCAGCAGAACCCCAGCGAGTCTTCCCTTTGATGAAAGACTATTTGTTGAAAACTTTGAGCCAAGAATTATTCGCTTTATTTCCTACTAAATGCCTGTGTTTCTTTGCTTATCAACTCTCGCTTAGTACTTGGAGCCAGTTTCTTCCTAAAATCTGTTTCCTGCTTTCTGTGCATGTTATATTTGGATGTCTCAGAGCAGCAGCTGAGACTTGCTCTCCCAGTTTATGATATGGCTTGATGTCTGGCTGGGAGTTCATTACTAAATAAAGCAAAAATTAAGTGATGTCTTTAAAAGGTGAAGGCTGAGTCCTCAGGTTTAAACCCTGAGAAATGAAGGGAAGGAAAAAAGGCATAGCAGTGTGTTGGCTGTTACTTGGATTAGGGATTCTTTAAAACAATATCCATATTAGTAGAAAAATAGAAGTGAAAACTAATTTTTTAAATTAGGCTAATACTTTCTTTGGGAATTATATGTAAAATATCATTATAATGTATTGCTCCATTCAGGCCTCTTTTATGAGTGAAATTTATCAGATAATAGCCATAAACTGGGACTGTGCTCGACAAATTGGCTGTGTAGTCACCCTAGTTAAGGACTACAATAAAAACAAACTAACATACAAATCTTTTATAATGATTATTTGCTTGAAGAAAATAAAACAAGATGATATTATAGCATGGGAAGTAGGAATGGTTTAATTGTCTTTAAAATGTTATGTATGAACCCATGAAATCTTCAGCTAATAAAAGGCTTTTCTCTTGCAGTACACCAGTATCATATTCTCTCTCTCTCTCTCTCTCTCTCTCTCTCTCTCTCTCTCTTTCTCTTCTCTTCTCTTCTCTCTGCTCCCCTCTCTTCTCTGTTCTAGATGCATCCCAGGGTCTTGAGTGTACTAGACTAGTTCTCTACCACTGAACTGTATTATCAGCCTCATTTTCTCTTTTTAAAAAAATTGTGGGTGTCTTTCTAATTGAAGAATAGTATATCTAACTTTGAATGTTTGAAGGTACAGCTCAAACCCATTGCCTTCATTAGCCTTTACTTAACCTCCTAATCAGAGTGTGGCCCCCTCCCCAGATTCCTGTGGTGCTTTGGGCTGTGTTTATAGCACCCTCTGATACTGCCTTGGAAGGCATCTGAGTGACTTCCCTTCCCCTGAACCATAACCCCAGCACCTGCTGCCTCTTACACAGAAGAGCTTAGCAAATCCATAAATCCAGAGATACACACTCCACTTCCTGATCCTGCCTTCCTACTCTCCCAGATAAGCTCCATATTCCCACAAACATGGCGGTTTCTAATTATCTCTTAAATTTTTCATTTTCAGTAACTTTTCCTTGAGGGAATGATTTCGTCCTATAATCAATAGCTGTTGGTCCTTGAGGTTGAGGGAAGTGTGTTATTATTATGAAGAACTAATTCCAAGTTCCTTTTTGGTGATTCCCTTCCATCCCCTGGAGTATGGGGCTAGGATCCCATGTTTACTTTGTATCTGTCCAGCCCCTTTGTTTTCATTATGTTCCTTTATGATGTCCCCCCCCCCATATCTCTCTCTCCTTCCTCTCCCCACCCCGGCCCTGTCTCTCAGCTGAGGATTGAACCCAGGACCTGGGGCATTTGAGCACATGCTCTACTGCTGATTTGCACCACAGCCCCTAATGCTTGTTTTTAATATATATGGCCGTTTTGGATTTAAATTAAAACCCTTCCCCATCTATTGCCTGTTGATATTCTGAGATCTCACAGCCATCTTTATGGGAGACAGAAGTAAGCAGACTGTTACAGGGGAACAGCCCGATCCCAGAAGTGACTTGTTCTTTGGTCTCATTGACCTCCAGTGTGCTCAGGTGTGGCCTCTGATATGCTCTAGGAAGCTACATGGAGAACATATAGAATGTTATTGGTCATTGACTCCTAGACTTAGGTCCTTGAACAATAAGCAAAAAAGACATTTGCTAATCACCCTACAAGGTTCTAAGTACAAAGAGTTAATCTTCCATAGGTCTCCCCAGCCACGCCTAGAATTCCTTTCTATATAAATTTTTGGCTTCCAAATTCAGCTGCTCTGAAGGCAGTCTGAGATTGGAATGAAAAACCCTTCAAATGGTGCATAGTTACCTTCTACCTTATCATTACACTCTTTGTCCAATCCCTGTGTTCCATGTAGCATTTCCCACTATTTGTTTACTTAATTATTTATTTATTGTTCTGAAATCCAGGACTCACCCTGTTTTAGATAAGCCCTGTCTTGTGGTTAGTCCTTTCTTTTGCCTGCATGCCCTTCACTGTGACCCCTCTCCCTCATCAGCTATCTTTACCCCAGATGATCAGGGGCTAACACCTCATTACTCTTAAAGTTATCTTCTATAGCTCTTCCCCCTGCCTCTTTATGTTACTGTTCAAAGAAAATCTAATGTGAATCACATTTTCAAAATTAAAAAACATCCAGGTGTGGTGGTTCGTGCCTGTAATCTCAGCTTCTTAGGAGGTGGAGGTAGGACAATCATGGTCTGAGACCAGCCTGGTGAAAATCTCTAGACTCTATCTGAAAAGCAAACCAAAAGCAAAAAAAGTACTCAAGTGGTAAAGCACTAGCCTGCCTAGCCTTCAGTCCCCAGTACCCCCTCAAAAAAAAGGTAAAAAAGTAGAAATTGGTGAAATTAATTTTAATAATATTTTGCTTAATTCAATGTACCCAATATATCAATTCAGCATAAAACCATTCTAAAACTATTGAAGACATATTTTACATCCTTTCTTTTTGTATTAGGTCTTAAAAATCTAGTGTGTACATCTCAGTTCAGATGATTTGGTATGGGCCAGTGCACTTAGACCATAACTATGGGTTATTATTCATTGTTTTTTTTGGCATCTTGCCCAGCACTTGGCCTGGAAACCATGTGTAGGATAAATTAATAGTACCACCGTAGTCTTGTTTTTGAATATAAAGTTTGAATAAGTGATAGAATTTTTAATGGTTTGCATCTCTGTTAAAGGTCAAATATTACTGCTAGAAGACTAATTTCATAAAGTTAGACCTTGCTATTTGCATTTTACTCAAACACAATAAAATTCCAGTTATTTCTGCTTTTGATAAAACTATTTTGAGCTTATACATAATTACCTTATTTTTAATTCTTCAAGTAAAAAAACAAAGATTTATTCATGGCCTTGGCTTTTTTCTTTAGGTATTCAAGACAAACTGGACTATATCAGTACTTTAAATGTGAAAACTGTTTGGATTACTTCCTTTTTTAAATCATCCCTTAAAGATTTTAGATATGGTGTTGAAGATTTCCAAGAAATTGACCCTATTTTTGGAACAATGAAAGATTTTGAGAATCTGGTTGTGGCCATACATGAGAAAGGTAAATTGAACAGAAGGTGGGTGGGATAGAGATGAGGGTTGAGAAAGCACTTTTCTACATGCTCATTTTGTAACATTTTTCCCTTAACTGTCATATATTATTCTAATAATTTTCCTTCCATTTGAAATGTTTTCACTCATTAGGTTTAAAATTAATAATTGACTTCATACCAAACCACACCAGTGATAAACATGCTTGGTTTCAATTGAGTAGAACACGGAGTGGGAAATACACTGATTATTTTATCTGGCGTGATTGTGCTCATGAAAACGGCATAACTGTACCGCCCAACAACTGGGTAAGTACTGACTTGCAAGTGGAAAACAGGTAGATCTGCAGCAATCGAACTGGTTATTTATAAAGCCCTTTTAAGAAAAAACATGATATAGTTTATGGTAAGGCGAAAAAGAAATAGAAATCGAAAAAGCTTCCCAAATGCATTTGAATTTCTGATTATAGAGCTGGTGTGTTCTAGTATTTACATTATATTAGGTAGACTCAAGGCAATGCTTACCCATGAGCCCCTGTAAAATTAAAAAAAAAATTATATACTTCCTATATGCAATGGCACAGAGTAAATACTTTCATTCCAAAAGGAAGGAATGGGAGCACAGAAAGTATAGAGATGGGACCAAAGAAAGACCAAAACCCATTAGGGCCAGCACTAAATCCAGTAACTCCACATCTAGCATCCAGGTTGAATGAGCTCCAATGGGCTTGGGCATCCCTTCCCCTGTGGCCATGTTATTTGCAGCTCAAATGGCCTCTCTCTTGGGCTGCCTCCACTCATTGCTTGTGGCTTTCCTTGGCAGACATTCTACATTCCTGGTATTGCCAACATCTGGGGTATCTATTGCAGCTTAGGCTGCACCATCATAGCTTCACGCATCACCCTCTCATGGGCAGAGATTCTGACCCTGTCACCTGTTGCCAGGCAGGCCTTCCTTTTAAATCTGGGTGGAAAAAAAAATAAAAATAAAGGAGACTGAATCACAAAAAAAAAAAAAAAAAAAAAAGAAATCTAGTGGGTGGTAAGGGAGAGGGTGGGGGCAGGGGGGAGAAATGAACCAAGCCTTGTATGCACATATGAATAATAAAAGAAAAATGAAAAAAAAAAATCTGGGTGGAAGCCTCCATGACCCAATAATTCTTGCATTTTGTCTAACTAACACCATGTGGATGATGCAAAGGCAGCTACCAGTTTGAGCATTAGTCTTTCCCCTTTGAACCATGGTTACAGTAGCCTCTGAGTGCCTGGATGGCTGAACTTGGGGAAACACTTCCCTAGATGGCCCTGTGTGAGCAGGGCACCCAGGATCTCTTTTTTCAAAACAGTTTTGCACATGAGTTGCAACCTTCATCCCCCTGAGTCTGAGATTGGTGGGGTCCATCCAATTCTTGAGATGTCTTCAAAGTGTTCTTCCTATTGTCCTGATACAAAGCAGTTGGCTTCTTTTCAATGCCACACTTTCTTCTCCTGCCACACTTTTGTTGACCCCAACATTATATGCACTTTCTTTTCTGGCCAAACTGCAAGTTTTTCAAACTTTTCCACTTGCTTTTTGTTCACAATTCTCACTAGAAACTTGGCTAAAAGCAGCCAACAATAACCATGCCATAGCCTGAATGCTAGGCTCTCTAATTCGTCTATCACCTGTAGACTCAGCCTCCCACATCATCTCAGGACATGGACAAAGTGTAGATAAGTCCATGGCCTCTGGTTTAATTAAAAATAGAGTCCCTGTTCCTGTCTGAAATCTCATGGTCTTCATTGTTTGCATTCCTGTTGCCCTTCTGAGCTCCCACCAACATTGCCCGCTAAGTCCCACTTACAGTATTCTAAGCTTTCTCTAGCTGGCTGCTTCTCCAAACTCTTCCACATTCCTTCCACAAACCAGTTTCAAAGGCTTCTGACCCACATGGTCAGGTTTAGTCATGGCAAGGACACACCACTTCTCTGGTACCAGTTTTCCATATTAGTCAAACCTTTTCATCACTGTGAGCAAATACCTGAGAGGACAATTTAAAGGAGAAAGGATGTATTTTGCTCATGGTTTCAGAGGTTTCAGTGCATCAGGGAGGGAGGACATGGCAGTACATGTCACATCATGGTGGACAGCAGAGCAAAGACAGGGAAAGATAGACTCTTCAAAGACATGGACTCCCAATTACCTACTTCCTCCAACCAGACCTCACCTTCCACATTTTCCACCACCTCCCAATAGTCTATTCAGATTTTGAATCCATCAATGGATTAAACTGTTGATTAGTTCAGAGCCTTCAGGATCTAACTGTCTCTGGAAATACCCTTACAGACTCACCCAGAGGTATGCTTTACTAATCTCTTACATGTCTTTCAACGTAATCAGTATTAATCATCACAGGCACTATAACTAATCTTGAGATGATTTAAAGTGGATGGAGGATGTGAGTAGGTTATATACAAATGCTATGCCATTTTATGTAAAAGTCCTGAGCGTCTTGTATTTGGGTATCCAAGTGGGGTCCTGGCACCAATTCCCCACGAATGCTGAAATACTAAAATACTGTGTATTTTTTTTTCTTCTGAAATTCAGATTTATCTGGGCAACTCTACTTTTGTCTCAGGCCAGCTCATCCCTGCCCTGGTCCACTTTATCTCGTGATTTCTTCCAAGCCTTTTACTGTGGGTCTTCTTACCCTATCCAGTTCCTCCTCTTCCCTTCCTGACTCTCTTGCAAACATTTAAACGTGTCAGCTCCTGGATATCGTTTAGATGACCCAGGGACACTCAGAGTTGTCTTGTTTCAAGGCTGACCGTGTGATCTTTTCCCTGCAACTGCCTGATGTCCTCCAAGTTCAGTGACTATTACCACTGTGCAGCCTGGGAGTCAGGCTATCAGCAAGTCCTGGCAGTTTTACGTCTCCCGTTCACCCTCTTATTAAAGTGGCAGTGATGCTAGCAGACATTTACTAAATGCTTACTATCTGTCTTGCTGTCTGCTAAGTGTTTTATATTCATCATTAATTCATTCAATCCATTCTTCAATCCTATGAACTAGGTTTTAATTTTTGTTTTGCAAACACATAGAATGAGTGTGTAAATGAAAGGGCTAAAGACTGGATATCAGTCAGTGCAGCCTACAGTCCACTTTTTAAAATTGCTGCCCGCACCTCAAGCCATATCATCTCTTAATTATAGGATGGTAATAGCAGCCTCTTTTGGCATCAGAAGGTTTTTTTTTTCCTTTTTATTTTCTTTGTTGTATAATACTCCATTATTATTCACATGTCGGTTAGTAAGCAGTTGGGCTGCTTCCTATTTTTTACTATCATTAGTAATGTCATAAACACTATTTATCTTGAGGTACATGTGCAAGAACTACTTTAAGTTGAAAAACTGGAAGTAAAATTGCAGGATCCTACATGCCAACTATACAAGGTCACATCACATTGATTATCAAAGTGGTTGGACCAATTTATATCCCTTCCAGCAGTATAAAAGTACATATTCTCGTTAATTCCTGATATTGTCCATACTTTGTAATTTTTGCCATTCATGTGAACATAAAATAGTATCCCATTGAGGTCTTAATTTTACATTTGTCTAATTGTTAATGATATTTTATCTAATTATTAATGTAGTAATTATCTAATTGCTATTGATATTTAACAATCTTTTTGTGTATTTTTTTCCTGAGTATCCATTTCTGTGAAACACCCCCAATTCTCTTTTGGATTGTTTGTCCCCAATCTTTTGTTGGTTAGACATGCTGTGAGTATCTCATCTTGAGTTGTATCTGGATGGGCCACCTGGTGAACTGGTCAAGGGCTTTTTCCTTAAAAGACAGCAACTGCTACTCAGCTTTGGCCACTTGCTGTGGAAATGCAGACCCTGTGTGACTGGGTCTTCCAGGTAAAAAGAAAAGGCTTTATGCAGAACCCCTCAGTTCTTCATTGTTTTCGAGATGCTCTTTTTACATGAAACAAACAAAAGGTCTGAGATGGAGCACAAGAAACTCACATTTTGATGGGCCATGGAATAGACTAAGAAGGAATGGCCAAAGATTTGGAGACATCAAGAAGAGTCTTGATGTGGAACCATGGACCTGAGCATTTCTAGAAAAAAGACATCAGCCACAATGTCAAACACTGCTGGGTACCAATACTCAAAATTGTCAGGTTTTTATTCCTGAGGATGAGTATTTATTTATTTAATTTATGGGACTGAGGCTTTAACTCAGGCCTTCGTGCTTGCAAAGCAGTCACTCTCCCTCTTGAGCCACGCCTCCAGTCCATATCGCTCAGGTTATTTTTGAAGATGGGGGTCTTGGAAACTATTTGCTGAAGCTGGCCTTGAACCTCATTCCTCCTGATCTCAGTCTCCCAAGTAGCTAGGATTAGAGGTGTGAGCCACTGACACCCAGCACAAATAGAGTTTTTAAGTGAATGGTCTAATAAAACCTTTTTGTATACATATTTGAAGTATCCAGTTTAATCTGGGTTTAAACTCCAAGATCAAGAGCATATGTCTTTCGCACTCATCGACCACATTTGCTTTACTTCACATGTAGGAGTTCAGAGCCTGGACAGAAGATTCAAGAAAATGTGTTAGTAATGTCTGTTTCTTAAGTTGCCTTGTCTCGAATTTGAGAGCATTTGCTAGTGTTGTTATGAACACTGTCTACTGGACAAATACGTCACAGCGATGTGATAGGGCATTAGATGGATGAAATTTGGGGAGATTAATTTAGCTTGGTGTTCCTCCTAGCACGAAAACGCTCAGAATTTACGAAGCTGTCCTCATTGGGCCAGGGATGGCAATGATCGTTTTTGTTGGCAATACTATCATATGAATAAGCTAAGTAATCAATGTGCTGCTTTGTTTATTTGCTAGTTAAGTGTATATGGAAACTCCAGTTGGCATTTTGATGAAGTGCGAAAGCAATGTTATTTTCACCAGTTCACGAAAGAGCAACCTGATCTAAATTTCCGAAATCCTGATGTTCAAGAAGAAATAAAAGTGAGTAATAACACCCACAGAGACTTCTCCATTAATAGCTACTTAAGTAGTAATTTGAAAACTCAATATTGAACAATCGTGTAGGCAAAACCAAACAGTGCAATTAAATTCTCAGATTAAGATGTCTGATGCAAACACAAACACTTAAACTGCTGGTGGTTCCTTCCTTCTTCTACCCCAGAAAAATCTAAATGAAATGGGGCCAGGAATGCTTGGTACCTTAGCTCTGAGTTGCTCCTTGGCCTGTGACAGTGAGCTACTGCAGCAGGGCAGGTGAGAGCATGGGCTTTGGGGTCTGGCTTCTACATCTGTAGTGACTTCTGGGTGAATTATTTGCTTTTTCCATGTCTCCAATCCCTTATGTATGAAACATGGTTGATGACAGTATTTGTGGCAGAGGGCTGTTGGAAGATTAGCTGAGATAGTCCATGCATGGTGCTTCTGTGTTCACTCAATAATTATTAACTTACTGCCTACTCTGTGCTGGGCCCTGTTCTAAGCACTGGGAATATAGCAATGAATAAAAAAATGCCCAGCTCTCAAGGAGTCTTTGGGCCACCAAGGGGGCTATAAACAATTAACAGCTACCTATATAACACGTTAGATGGTGGCGAATGCTCAGGGGAAGGGGCACTGGAGTGCCAGGTACAGGTTGCTCATCTGCGAAAGGTGATTAGGAGACATGCCTGGGAAGAGGTGATGCATGACAAAGACCTGAAATGGGAAAGGAAGGTGGGTGACTAGAGGAAGAGAGTTCCAGGCAGAGGAATAGTGAGGACAAAGATCTCGTTAAATTTTAAACTTCAGATGAACAATAGTACAGTATTTGGGACATACTTCTACGAAAAAAGTTACTCGTTGGTTACCTGAAATTAAAATTTAACCACGTCTCCTGTATTTTATCTGGCTGCCTTCCCAGTGTGTTGGAGGGACTCGAAGGCAAGAGGCAGGCAGTTGAGGTCCACAAAGTAAGAGATGGGGGCTGCTCAGGTAGGCCTTGAATGCTGATGTAAGGGCACATGCTGAGTCACTACAGATCCCTCTGTGGCTTTGGAACAGGAGGTTTCCCAGGTGACCTCAGTGATCTCCCACCCAAGTGGTGCTGGCAGTTCTAACAATACCTGATGCCTAGTTCACAGGAAATAGCAGCCATGCTGTTCTCATTCTTGCTGCTGCTGTGGCTAGTGTGGTTGGGAATTTAGGTGGCTGGGGTAGGACTCTGAGGAAGATAGGTGGGGAAGAAACTGAACAGAACAGAACTTGTAGCTTATTTTTCTTTTTTTCTTAACTAGCAGTTTTATTGAGATACAATAATTCACATGCTATAAAACTTACTCTTTTCAAATGGGTAATTTAGTGATTTTAGGATATTTTAGTGTATTCACAGTATATTTAGTGCAACTATCACTACTCAGTTCAGTACTTTTCACCAGGCCAAACAGAAACTCCTAAGTCAGGTGTGGTGGTACATGCCTGTAATCTCAGAGGCTCTCCAGCCTGAGGTCAACTTGGGCAACGCAGTGGGACACTGTCTCACCAAAAAAAAGGCAGGGGGGGCATCCCTCCAAAACCGTTGCAGTCACTCCCCATGGCCTCTGACTTTCTTCCTGAAGGTCTTGGCAACCACGAGTCTGTTTTGCTACTCAGAACATGTCATATAAATGGAATTATACAATACATGCCTATATGTGTGTGATCTGTATCTATTTTTATATGTGTGTTTATTGAGAAACTGCTGAATTGTTTTCCATAGCACCTGCACCACTTTACACTTCTACTAGCAATTTATAAGGCTCCAGTTTCTCTACATTCTCACCAAGAATACTTGTCATTGCCTGTGTTTGTCCTCGTGGGTATGTAGTGGCATCTCACTGTGGTTTATATTTGTATTTCCCTAGTGGTTAATAATGTGAGAATAGTTCATAACTTTCACACACTTATTTATCTTCATTATAGAAGTGTCTATTTAAAGCCTTTGCCTATTTAAAAATAGGCTTATTTGTCTTTTTAGTGTTTGGTTGTAAGAGTTGTTTATATATTATGGATACATGATTTACAAATACCTTTCTTCTATTTTGTGGGTTTTTTTTTTCTTTCTTTCTTGACTATGTGCTTTGAAGCATAAGAGCTGACACCTATAATCCTAGCTACTCAGGAGGCAGAGATCGGGAGGATCGTGGTTTGAAACCAGCCCAAGCAAATGTTCAGGAGACCCTATCTTGAGGAAAAAAACATCACACAAAAGGGCTGGTGGAATGGGTCTTGCACATGCTGCTCCACTGGGGAACATCCCCAGCCCTCTGCATTTCTTTTTAAAAATTGATTTTTGTGGATTCCTTAGTCTTAAATCCATTCTTACAGTAAGAATGTGCCCACAGTTCAGATGAATTGCTTTAGGATCTGTTCTAGAAGTAGGCATCAGTAGTCAGAGCAATTTTGTCTCGGTAGGGTAGATGTGGTCAGTAGACTAAGTGGGGGTCAGTTTTGAACTTCTCTGGTGCTATGGACTCTTCTCTATCACCAAAGCTCATTTTCATATTACATCTTCCCCTTCCTTCCCACTTATTAGGCATGTACTTACTATGTATATGATTTACTCTGATGATTTATGCTCAGAACAAGCCTGATTTATGAGCTACCTAAGAAAGGAAAAGTGAGACCTAGCAAGGTAAAGCCACCCTCCTCAGGAATACTGGAGCCTGATGCAAACCTAGGTTTTGGGACCTGAGTTCACTACCCTTAACTGCAGCCCTGCTTCTACTTTGAGGCAAACTATTTTTCTCTTTGTGTTTCGCTTTTCCTACAGTTTTTTTTTTTTTTCAGCCTTTCAGTCAAAAATTCCTAAAGTATTAGTCAGTTAGTTTATCAGGTGGTAGTCTTCTCCAGACTCTGTGTGAATGGTAGTGGATTGTCTGGAGATGTTGAAACAAGTGTTAAATTTTGCCACGACGTGTTGGCCAGTTCATTAATGATTCTTTGACAAACCTGGTAGTGGAGTGAGTATGTGAGTAGGATTCTTATACACTAGTGCCCCAGAAAGAAAGCCTCTCACTGAGAAGTTAGATATTATTTGCAAAACTGGTTGAGATTTCCCATCAGAAGTAAATAAGAAAGGACAAGAAGTTGAGATGAAAGGCACTTTGCTCCAGGAATGGACCTTTCACATGAGGGCACTTCCGACACCCTTCTGCCCCCAGCAGTGCTTATCTCTATAGTGGAGTTAAGTAGGTTAATAATTTGCAACCCAGCTAGTTTTTGGCAAGGAGGCATTTGGAATGACTCCTACTCACATTCCTGCTAGCACCTGGAGAGCCTCTCTGCCATCAGATCTCAGTTATCTGCACAGTGGGAGGCAGGCATAGAGGGACATCCGGCTGAGCACCCTCCCTTCTTCTCAGTCTCCTCCCCTTCCCAGTGGCTTGTCTCAGGACTTGAGTGCTTTCCCCTGAGAAGTCAGGAAGAATTCTCACAGAGGAGGTCAGGGCTTTTATTTGCATAGTAGTAATTTATACTTTTTTCAATCACTTTTTTTTTTTTTTGGCAGGACTGGAGTTTGAACTCAGGGCTTCATGCTTGCAAAGCAGGCATTCTGCTTGGCCACACCTTCAGTTCATTTTTTGCTCTGATTATTTTTGGAAATGGGGTCTCAGGAGCTGTTTGCCTGACTTGGTTTGGTTTTTTCCTTGCTCTTCAAATCCCTTTTCTTATAAAAGGATTTGTACCTGTACTCACAGGTACATGAGCTAAAGTTGTCAAGTAGGACAGTGGAATGGCAAGGAAGAGACTCCAGGTGGCCTGGCCCCATGTCTGGGCTCAGTGTGATCCTGGACCTCCTGTGTTGCAATGCTGAGGCCTGGAGTTGGGACTCCTGGGAAGTCACTGTGTTTACAGTTTGGAATGAGAAGCCAAGAGGCACTTAATTGTGGACTCTGCTCCACCCCTATAATTCAACATACAGTTCACTCACTACCTACTTTATCTTTTTTTTATATTTATTTATTTCGTGATTCCAGGATTGAACCCAGGGTTCATGCTTGCTAGGAGAGAACTTTATCACTTGAGCTACTCCCTCAGCCCACACCACCTGTTTGAAACACCAGCTCTGTGCTTGATATAATAAGTGCATCATTTATTGCACCTTCTGCATGCTAGGTGAGCTATTACAATCATGCACTCATTTAACAATACGTGTGGCATGTTGACCACGGGCTAGAGGTGTGATGGTTGATAAGATGGGCACTTGTGGTTGTCATGGAACTTATATTCTGGAGGACAAGGTAGACAAGCAGTTACAATAAAGTATGCTGAATTGTTGTGACAGTAGAAAGTAGGCACACACAGGGCTGGTGCCTAATAGAGTAGGAAAGATTGGGGAAGGGTTTTCAGTGATACTCAGTGGATGATTCCTTGGACGAATGAACCAAGGAAGAGGCACAAGTGGGAGTGTTTCAGGCAGAGGGGAAGGCATGAATTATGGTACACTTGAAGTGCCAAGAGTTGTCCAGTATGACAGGGACATGTTCTAGATAGAAGGGAGTGTTACCAATGAGACTTGAGTGGTCAGCAGGAGCCACGTCACAAGTGGCACTGAAAGGCCTAACAAGGACTTGAGCTTAAAAGGTTTTAGGCAGGGGGATAACTTTTGATTTGCATTTTGAAAAAAATCATTCTGGTTTTGGAAAAGGAGCTTGAGTCGGGCAGGTTTGGAGACAGAGGGTTTAGGGAGGAGGGTGGTGCAGGAATCTGGAAAGAAATACTGATGACCTTGGACCAGCAAGGTTGGCATGGAGATGTAGAGTCATCAAGATTTAGAGGGGAGTCTGCTGTGACCCTCCAGCTTCAAATTTGAATGGGGGTGGGTGAATAGGAGGTATAGGAAGAGGAGGAGTTTGATTTTTCTGTGAGATGTCCAAGAATCCAGTGAATACTTGGATAAGGGACTGAGGATCCAGGAAAGGTTTGGTCTAGAGATAAAAGTTTGGAGTTTGTTGATATATGAATGATGCCTACAAAGCTCAGGCAGTAAGAAAAGTAAGCCAGCTGAACTGAACAAGAGAGACAATTATTGTCAGGTGAGAGTGAGGCCAGTGTTGGCAGCTCTTCCAATTAAAAAAAAATGAGACAGTGTAGCAAATGGTAAAGGATGCCATATGGTTCCAATTCTAGTGCTGCTGCTTATTAACCATGTGACCTTGGTGGAGGTCATATCACTGAGCCTGTTTTCTCATTCATAAAATAGAAATAATGGCTCTTAACTCATAGAGAAGACTAAGTGTTTTAATCTTGCAAAACACCAAGAGCAGTGAGTTCCTTGATATGTAAGTACCTTTTAAATAATCAATAAATGGACAGTGTTGTGAAGTGAAACGAACAAGGGTGAAGATGGAACCTCATAGAGCACTAACATTTAAAGGACTGCAGAGGCCACCGAGAAGGAACTGCAAACCAAGCACATTATGGAGCTAAGGGATATCTTTCTAGAAGAAGAGATTAATCAGCAGTGTCCTTACTGTCTGTAAGGATTAAATGAGGTACTGCTGCCAAAGTCAACCACCCCTCAGTCTTTACATTCCCTGTCTGTCTGCAGTGTTGACAGTGCTGACTAATCTCTTCTTCTAGAAAGATATCCCTTAGCTCCATCAGGCAGGTGCTGTTTTAATCATGAGGAAGGCGAGGTTTAGTGAGGTCTTGAAGATGACTTAGTATGGCTGGCTGCAAGGTGGCTAGCAGGGTACCAGATGGTAACATACAGAAGCCTTGATCCTGTCTCTTTTCCCTGCTTCTGGAGGAGTTAGCAAATAATTTTACTGAGATTTCTGAGCAGTAGTAGTGATCTTTCTCTTGCCTATAAGCAGGGGATATCATTTTCTCTCTGTACTTATAAAAGGTCTTATGTTTCCTTATTCTTTCATGAGATGGACAACTGCTGAGTTCAGATATCATGAATCTAGACTTTTCTTATTTTTTTACTCAGAGTGTTTTAGGAGAAAAGAATTTAAAGATGACCAGTGGAAAAATCAGGACAGTGTGATGTCATGGAAGCTTGACAAGAATTGAGGACACAGTATACTGTGCCCAGAGACCGTGACACCTACATGAGTCACCTAGACCCAGTGGAACCAGGCTCTGTGTCCATTTTTACATCCGGTACTCTGGGAGAATGTAATTGGAATAAAGAGTGTTAACGATTAAAATCTGGAGCTCTCTTTGCTTCCCTGGTTGAAAGAATAAATAACATGAAGGAAATAGTTCTCAAGAGCAGACTCTTGAGTATTATCTGGGTTAAAACTTCAGCATTTAAAACATTTCATCAGGGCTGGGGTTATGGCTCAGTGGTAGGCACTTACTTGCCTACAGTTCATGAGGTCCTGAGTTCAGTCTCCAGCACTTTTAAAACAAAAGTATTAGAAACATTTCATTATATAAATGATGACACAAAACATGATAATGTTTCTATTTATGCCAGGGTCATAAACCTAGACCCTGAATGTCAGGTCAACATTTAGCAGTGCTGAGACCCTGAAGTGAATAAGGACTTCCTGTAGAAAATGAGTGGCTTGGTTTCAGAAAATCAGTACCCCAGAGCTTAACATTTATAACAGCATGTCACCTAATGCTTTCCCATGTTTTGTCAGAGTCTGCTTGGATTACTTATAGCTATTTGTGCTCGGCTGCAACCAGTGTTCGTGCTTGTAAAACAAAGTACCACCTAGAGGTGGACCCGGGCTGTGTGGTGTCTGAAGCATCTAAAAATTGGGGCCAAGTTTTGGCATCTGTCTGTTGACTTCTCTAGTATAATCTCTGACCATCCACCCTCACCTCCTGCTCTCCTTCTGCCCCTCCTCTGACTACTTGGACTCCACAAATCCGGGGAATGTGCCAGATGTACTCAATGTGCTGTACGTCTTCAGTATTTGACTGGCTCATGCTCCCTCATCCATAATTGGTTCACTGTGTACCAGGTGCTGTGTCCAAGGCAAAGGAAAAGAAGTAGAGCTCAATATTGCCCTCAGGGATCACCCAGTCAGGTGGAGAAGCCTTCATAACTGGCAGTTTGTAGGTTCAATTTGAACCAAAGGCGGGCAAGCTCGGTCCACCCTACGGCTATCTCCATTGCTGGAGCAAGGGGAAAGCTTCTTAGCAAACACTGTATCTAGGCTTGATGATTCTCAAACTTAAATCCGTAGCCACAACCTCTGCCCTAAGGTCCAGATTTAACAAGCCACTAGCCTCCTCCTCATTTCACTCCATCTTCTCCTTCAGCCTGCTGTCACAGCTCAGTGAGTGGTACATAGACCAACAACTTGTGGGTTAAGCTTGACTCCTCTCTTTTCCACAGTGCCTGCATGCCATGAGCAGATCAGGAGCTCCCACCTTACAACAGATCGACATCTGACCACTGCTTCCACCTCTATCACTGTCTCCCCACTCAGAGCAGGCTTCTAAATGGGCTCCTCAGCCTTAGTTTGTTTTTTTTTGTAACAGATTTTTTGATATATAATTTATATGATTTAAGATTTACCCAAAGTATTCAATATTTTCACAGTTGTGCATCCATGATCACAATCTAATTTTAGAAAAATTTTATCACCCCCACAAAAGAAGCTTTGTCCACTTTAGCCATCACTACTCATCCTGTCACATCCTCTCCAACCCCTGGTAGGTACTAATCCACTTTCTGTCTCTATGGATTTGCCTATTCTGGATATTTTGTATAAATGAAATCACATAATCCTTATCCTTTGTGCCTTTTGTCTTTCACTTGGCAAATGTTCCCAAGATGCATCCATGTTGTAGCATGTGTCAGTATTCATTCATCTCTATTGCCAAATAATACTCATTGCACACATATAGCATTGGGGTTGTTTCCATCTGTGATTCATGCTGCTGTAAACATTCACATACAAATTTTTGTGTGGATATATGTTCTCTTGGCTACATACCTAAGTATGAAATTGCTGGATTTTATGGTAACTTCGTTTAATTTTTTGAGGGACTGCCAGACTGTAGAGTTTATTCTTCATCAGCCATTTCTGCTTGAAACCTTGAACCCCCACCCCACATTGTACATTGTTCCCATTCACTACAAGCTAGAAGTGACAGTCCAACCTCACCTCCATCCCCTCCTGCTTATGCTTCTCTGGCCACACTGACCCCTTTTCATTGCTTCAGGAATCCAACTTGGTTTCCATAGCTGTTCTCTGCTTTGAATACTTGTCTTCCAGTCCTTCTCATGGCTTACTCCCTCATTATTCTCCCTGTTGAAATATTACCTCCTCGATCTAAACTAGCTCACTAGCCTTCCTTGTGCAACTCCATCCCTCTCTATCCCTTTATCCTGCATTGTTTTTCTACAAGGAATTTGTAAATTACCAGTTGCATAATTTGTGAGGATCCATGCAAAATGAAAGTACAGGGCCCTTGTTTTAAAATTACCAGAATTTTATGACAGTAAAACCAACAGCAGTGTGTTACCAAACATGAGGCCCTTCTGAACTAGAGCCCCAATGTGACTGCACAGTCTTCATGCCCACGCCTCTGGCGTTATGCCCAAGACTACCTGAAGTAAAAGGAAGTCCCTTTTCTCCTCCCCCCACTTGTCCACACCTGCAAACTTCTGCCTCCATCCTCCCCAGATTTTTCACTTTTATTTCCTTCTTCTCAGGCCCTTTCCCTGGAGGCTCCTGGTCTTCTGTTCCACATCCCTTCTTTGCCCATGTCTCCAGACCAGTCTTTATCTCTTCAGTCTTTGAACCCAGCATTTAAAATGTCCTAGTCTACCTAGGACAATGCTTTCCATAGCAGGTAGGGCAGGGAGAAGGTTGAGCAGGTAATGGACTGTCTTCTCTCCAGCAAGGATGTGTCTGGAGAATGTATTTGGGAATGGGGATATAGAAAGCCAAGGATATTTGCACAATAATTTTGGTGTTGATCACACATCTTTGAAGGAAACTAGGCCATCAAAGAGTACAATAAAATACATGGAAACTTGGATCTTTAACTGTTTTTGCTTGGGATCAATTTCTTTATGACATTAAAGACATTAAAATAGTGACTGTTACTCTTTTATTACTTGAATGTATTCAAGACAACATTTACATCTGGGTTTTACCCAGATCTTCACTATTCTTCTGTGTTGTGTTCTTTACAGATTACTCCTAACAGGAAATCCCTTAAACACCCAGCACTTCACCTCTCATTTGCCTTCCTGATAAGGAGGAAAATATTTAACAATTGAACAATTGGTGATGTCTTTCACTTTGGAGTGACTATTGAGGACTTGGGCTTGAGGGAGATGGGATACTTTCCCACTTTGTCCTGAGTCTTACCTTTCATGATGGTTTCTTTCTCTCATTTTTACTGGGTTCTCTAAACTTTGGAAACATGCTCTTAGTATTAATGTCAAATATAATTGTAATTCTGAGTTCAGATATGTACGAGTGTGAGTCCCTAAATGTAGTTACTGAAGCGTTCACTACACTAACATAGTTACACTAAATAGGCAAAACAGACTGTGAATATTGTGTTTGTCTTGTATGTAGAAATGTCTCTTTCATGGAAGTCATTCATAGACAAAGCCTTGATTAAAAATTACCATGTATAGTTAATGTAACCAAGAGTTTTGCTTCTTCATATTTAGGAAATAATGCAGTTTTGGCTTGCAAAGGGTGTTGATGGCTTTAGTTTTGATGCTGTTAAATTTCTTCTGGAAGCAAAGCATCTGAGAAATGAGATTCAAGTAAATACATCTCAAGTGCCGGTAAGGTTTTGTTTTAAACTTTGTCTTTTCTGAAAATGTCATCAGAGTGTCTCTATTTTAGCCTGAGATACCCAATACAAAGACAAGTTCTATCGATAGTAAGTACTTTGAATCATTTTCTTTTTTTGTTAGAATATATTAATTGTACAGAGCAGCTTCATTATAATATGTCTGTACACGCATGTAATGTGCTTTGATCAAGTTCACCACCTCTGGTACTCTTTCTTATACCCCGCTCTTTTTTTAACAATTTTAATAGATTTCATTATTCTGTTTTCCTATATGCATATAAAGTATTTTGATCATATTGAATCATTTTCTTTAGAAAACACAGTGGTTTCTAATGCATATACCCAGATGTTTCGTTTCAGTGATTCTTTCCAGAGTGAGGGAACCCTTGAGGACTCCTGCAGTGATTAGGGTTCTAAAGACACTGTGAACTGTTCCAAGGACCACCAAACGGAGAATAGTTTGCTCACTGAGATTTTGTCATTTCACTCAGGCTCAAGTGAGGAGGTCTCAATTCCTTAGGCACTTTTCTAGTTCAAGGACACATGGATGGAGGGGAGAGAGCTAACACTGACCAAGTGCTATCATATTTCATTTAACTCTCTTAATATCCTGTGAGAGGTTTCATGATCCTCGCTTAGCAAACCTTAGGGGAGTTAACTTATCCAGTGTTATAGAAGTGATAAATAGAATTCCAAACCAAGCCTGTCTCACTACAGAATCTAAGTTCTTTGGGGTTCCACACTAGTGACTCTCAACCTTCCCCCATGTCACACATACCACCTTACTCCTGTGGTTGACCACCATTCTTAGTTGCCCTCTTTTCTTTGGTCAAATAAGTATACAGTAATCCTAAAATACATTTCCAAGTGATGGATTTGTATTGTATATTCACACAATAGATTATTATATGCTAATCAAAATAATTGAATTACAGTGACAAATAGCAATATGGGTGAATCTTAGTAATCCAATGTAGTGGAAAAATTTTAAATTATTATGTGTAGTATGATACCTTTTAAATGAAGCTAAATAAGTAAAATGAAATCCATGTGGTTAGATAATTTATTATCAAGCTTCTAGCATTTGTCCTGAGTAGATTTATGGGTACTTATAACTTCACTAAAATGGTAATTAACAACTAACAAAAGAGAAATTGGCTGTGCAACAGGCCAATTACGGCAGCATGTCATTAACCAAAGGTTATGATTAAGCCAATTTTTTTGTGTGTGTGCATGATTTCCAATAAGAAAACTGAACAAAAAGAGGCACTGTACTATCCAGTTGTCTCACAGAGGAATAGCTGCTCCTTGGAGAGGAAATGTTGAAACAGCCTTGCTAATTGTAATGAGATGTCATGAGAAGTATGTTTGTAGCATGGCAAATGCTCAGAACAGTGAGTTTTAGGAGCTACTCAAGAAATGCAATTTAGTGGCTCATGCCTATAATCCTAGCTACTCAGGAGGCAGAGATCAGGAGGATTGAGGTTCGAGGCCATCTCGGTTCGAGACTATCTTTTTTTTTTTTTTTCACTTTGTTTATCCATCTTTATTTATTTATTTATTTATTTTTTCATTTTTCTTTTATTATTCATATGTGCATACAAGGCTTGGTTTATTTCTCCCCTGCCCCACCCCCTCCCTTACCACCCACTCCACCCCCTCCCGCTCCCCCCCTCAATACCCAGCAGAAACTATTTTGCCCTTATCTCTAATTTTGTTGTAGAGAGAGTATAAGCAATAATAGGAAGGAACAAGGGGTTTTGCTGGTTGAGATAAGGATAGCTATACAGGGCATTGACTCACATTGATTTCCTGTGCGTGGGTGTTACCTTCTAGGTTAATTCTTTTTGATCTAACCTTTTCTCTAGTTCCTGGTCCCCTTTTCCTATTGGCCTCAGTTGCTTTAAGGTATCTGCTTTAGTTTCTCTGCATTAAGGGCAACAAATGCTAGCTAGTTTTTTAGGTGTCTTACCTATCCTCACCCCTCCCTTGTGTGCTCTCGCTTTTATCATGTGTCGAGACTATCTTGAAACCCATTACAAAAAAAAAATGCAGTTCAAGAAAAAACCCAAGATTAAAATAACCCAAACAACCAAAAATCCCCTTTCACTTGATCTAGCAAGAGAAGTTCACTTATAAAGAGCCCACTGAACAGACTGTGCGGCTGTCCATGTCCCATCCCAGAACCTTTTCCCTTGACTGTAACCTTTTGATTCTTCTGATTCTAGGAAAGCATAAAAATAAGTATCAGGAAAAAATTACTGAAACCTAGAGGAAGTATAGCAGTAACAATGACAGAGATCATAAGGAAGCAAATTTAAATGCATGATACTGATATTTTTGTGAGCAGATACAATGTAAGTATAATAATGAGTTTTATAACCATCAGGATCATTTGTTTTCTTTGCCTTTGAAAGTGTCTAAAGCACCCCAAACTCTTAAGTTGATACAAGAAAGAGTAGGAAATACTCTGGAGTTAGTAGGTATAGGTAAGAACTTTCTCAATGAAACCCCAGCAGCACAGCAACTAAGAGATAGCATAGATAAATGGGACCTCATAAAACTAAAAAGCTTCTGTTCATCAAAAGAAATGGTCTCTAAACTGAAGAGAACACCCACAGAGTGGGAGAAAATATTTGCCAACTATACATCAGACAAAGGACTGATAACGAGAATATATAGGGAACTTAAAAAACTAAATTCTCCCAAAACTAATGAACCAATAAAGAAATGGGCAAGTGAACTAAACAGAACTTTCTCAAAAGAAGAAATTCAAATGGCCAGAAAACACATGAAAAAATGCTCACCATCTCTAGCAATAAAGGAAATGCAAATTAAAACCACGCTAAGATTCCACCTCACCCCTGTTAGAATAGCCATCATCAGCAAACCACTACCAACAGGTGTTGGCGAGGATGCGGGGAAAAAGGAACCCTCTTACACTGTTGGTGGGAATGTAGACTAGTACAACCACTCTGGAAAAAAATTTGGAGGCTACTTAAAAAGCTAGACATCGATCTACCATTTGATCCAGCAATACCACTCTTGGGGATATACCCAAAAGACTGTTACTCCAGAGGCACCTGCACACCCATGTTTATTGTGGCACTATTCACAATAGCCAAGTTATGGAAACAGCCAAGATGCCCCAGCACTGACGAATGGATTAAAAAAATGTGGTATCTATACACAATGGAATTTTATGCAGCCATGAAGAAGAACGAAATGTTATCATTCGCTGGTAAATGGATGGAATTGGAGAACATCATTCTGAGTGAGGTTAGCCTGGCCAAAAGACCAAAAATCGTATGTTCTCCCTCATATGTGGACATTAGATCAAGGGCAAACACAACAAGGGGATTGGACTATGAGCACATGATAAAAGCGAGAGCACACAAGGGAGGGGTGAGGATAGGTAAGACACCTAAAAAACTAGCTAGCATTTGTTGCCCTTAACGCAGAGAAACTAAAGCAGATACCTTAAAGCAACTGAGGCCAATAGGAAAAGGGGACAGGTACTAGAGAAAAGGTTAGATCAAAAAGAATTAACCTAGAAGGTAACACCCACGCACAGGAAATCAATGTGAGTCAATGCCCTGTATAGCTATCCTTATCTCAACCAGCAAAAACCTTGTTCCTTCCTATTATTGCTTATACTCTCTCTACAACAAAATTAGAAATAAGGGCAAAATAGTTTCTGCTGGGTATTGGGGGGGGAGAGGGAGGGGACGGAGTGGGTGGTAAGGGAGGGGGTGGGGGCAGGGGAAGAAATGAACCAAGCCTTGTATGCACATATGAATAATAAAAGAAAAATAAAAGAAAAAAAAGAAATAGGATATGAGATGTATGAACTGAATAAACTGTAACAGAATGAAGGAAAAAAAAAAAAAAGAAAGTGTCTAAAGCATTTCGACAATTATATGTAAGAAGGACTTTGTTAAGTATATTTCTAGTCAGTGTTTTTGATGTTTGGTAAAATTTAGTTCGCTAAAATGGGTGCTAATGGCTCTTGCCTATAATCCTAGCTACTCAGGAGGCTAAAATCTGGAGGATTGCAGTTCAAGGCCAGCCTGAGCAAATAGTTGGTGAGACTCTACTTCCAAAATAACTGGAGCAAAATGATTAGAGGTGTGGCTCAAGTGGTAGAGCACTTTCTTTGTAAGCGTGAAGCCCTGAGTTCAAACCCCAATCCCACCAAAAAAATAATAAATAAAATGGGTGATAGTTAAGTTAGAGAAATATTTGTTTATGGATTTATAAGGTTATCAATTGGAGTACTAGTTGTTTTAAGTAGTCTCAATCTACAACCCACCCCTTGACCAATGACGGTCCTAGGGCCACCTTTGAGCACGTATCTTGCTCATCTTAAGTCCTTTGGAGAGATGCCTCTATTTGTCTGGCGCCAGCTGTGGTTATGTGGCATGTGAAATAATGTAACCAAACTCTCTTGGTTTTCAAAGGACACGGTCATTCGCTACTCAGAGCTGCACCATGACTTCACTACCACGCAACTGGGAATGCATGACATTGTGCGGAGCTTCCGGCAGACCATGGACCAATACAGCAGGGAGCCTGGCAGGTACAGGTAAGCACAGAGCATGTGTTTGTTCTTGAAGCACAGTGCGTGATCTGCAGTTTATCCCTCATAACCAGGCATATGCAGAGGTCTTACAAACCTAAAAAATCACAAAGCAGTATAAGTATCTTATTAGAGCTTGGTTATCCCGGCATCTGAGCCAACCTCTCATGTTGCTTAAATGTGCTAATTTCAATTTCCAATTTTGTGAAATGTTAAAATTAAATTAATTAAAGAGAGAATATAGTAGTTAAATGTTAGCTATAGGCTATCACTATCATTGGTCTTATACTCTTTGTATAGTAGTAATCCAAATGCTTTATAAACTGTCAATAGAGCCTTCTTCATAGTTGTGCAACCTTGGGCTGGCTGTTTAACGTTAATCTGTTTTCTCATCAATAAAAAGGTAATAGCAGGAGCCTTTCTAAGGCTATAGAGTGAGATTAGATGAGATAATGTATATAAATTACTTAAAATAGTGACTGGCATACAGTAAATACTCTATAAAATTTATAAGTTGAGCCCTAACTTGAAAATCCAAGACTCTGGAGATTTTGGATTTCTGATTTTTTTCAGGTTAGAGATTCTCAACCAGTAAAAGTCTAGGCAAATATTCCCAAATCTAAAAACTTCAAAATCTCAAACATTCCTGGTCCCAAGAATTATGGCTAGGGGATGTTCAACCTATATTCCTGAGTTCATATAGCTCACCCATATAGAAAAGAAGCTAAAGAAATGTCCCCTCCTTGAAGTGGGTACTCTGATTACTGTCTCCATTTTATAGGTGAGAAACCAGCTCTGAGCATGCAGGTAATATGGTCACACGGGTGGTAATGGCACAGATGGGACAGGAATTGAAACAGGTGGGCTGGAGGCCATGAACTTACCCATCCATTAATATGCTGCTTCACACAGCCAATGCCAGCACTGATGGGGTCATTTTGGGTTACTGTGTCTTCCCCGGAGTATTTATTTCTCAGTAATTGAAGGTACTGATCAATAATAAGGTGAGAGTTTATGAAGACTCAAATATAAGGTTTTTGGGTGGTAAAACCTCTTACCTCTTACCTTATACATCTGTAAATTCCAGATGGTGTGGTAAGAATTGCTGAAGAAGGAATAATACTAATCTTTCTAAGGCTATAGTGAGATTAAATGAGTTAAGACCTTGATCAGGTCTTCAAAGATATTGCTAAGTTTTAATCAGGTTTGGAAAGCAAAGAACAATATTGATGGAGAGCCAAATGTATTTCTTAATTCTTAAGTATACCCTAATATTAGGCTACTATTTGGGTTTATTGCAATGAGAAATTGTTCAGGCACCCAGCATGACATTTCTTGGCCATGTGGCTTGACTGCTTTCCAGTGAGCCCTGTCCCTGCCTGGTTAATACTATGGGTTTGGCCCCCACATCTTAGAAGTGTATAAGACATAAGCAGCTGCAGTCTTTCCCAGTCTTCTGACATGTGATGGAGACATTGAACTCTGCCGTCTCTTGCAGGTTCATGGGGACCGAAGTCCACGCAGAGAGCATTGACAAGGCCATGTTATACTACGGACTGCCATTTATCCAGGAAGCTGATTTCCTTTCAACAGCTACCTTACTACGCTAGACATGCTCTCTGGGAACACTGTGTATGAGGTTATTTCATCCTGGATGGAAAACATGCCGGAAGGAAAATGGCCTAATTGGATGGTAAGTCCTCAAGCCTGGAGTCATTCATATTGAGCAGTTGCACTTGGTACATAGTCACCTCTAAAATCAGGTGGTCCTTTGTCCATAAGTGACCCTTTCTTTCACTTTATTCAATAATTAATGGTTAGACCTAGCCTAGCTTCTGAACCTACCTGTCCTCCTTGCTAAGTAGCTCAGACTGGCCTTGAACTTGTGTTCCTCCTACCTCAGCCTCCTCCCATGTGCTGGTTTTATAGATTTCTGCCACCTTACCCAGAGTGCCTGAGGCTCTAGAGGGGTTTTCTCAGTAGTATGTCTGTGGTAATTTGCTTCATTTTCTTTCCTTTACCATAGATTTACTTGAAAGCAGATCATGTACCACAGATCTTTTTTTTTTTTAAACTTAAAATTTATTTATTTATTTTGGAGATGCAGGGCGGGGGGGTCTCCCCTGTGTTGCCTAAGCTAATCTTCCAATCATGGCTCAAGCGACACTCCTACTTCAGCCTCCCAAGTAGCTGGGCCTACAGGCTCACGCCCCTGGCTAAGTTCTTTATTTCTGAAAACCGTTGTGTTGTGAACCATGCTTTCAAGCTTTTTAAGGAGCATGTCTGAAAAGCTTCTGTCAGACTCTTCACTGTGAACTTTCTTTTCTTTTTTCTACCACAGTACCTTTTCTCTTGCCTCATCCTCAGCTATGTGTTCCTACTCCAGTCCTTTGTAATCTCAAGGACCACCATTGAGGCCACATGGTCTGTTATTACTGAGAAGCTATGTGGCATATAACTATACTTCATTCCTTTAATATTATCACAAATGATTTTTTTCACTTTTGTTCATTATTCGTGTATAGAAATACAGTAGATTTTTTATATATCTTGCAACATTGCTAAACCTGTTCTATTAGCTTTGTGGCAAATATACATAATATAAAATTTATCATTTTAAGCATCTGAAGATGTACAATTCATTGGTATTAAGTGGATCCACAATGCCGCACAGCACCATGACCAACCATTTCCAGAACTTTCCATCCTCCCAAACGGGAAGAGCTATGCCATTAAACAATTTCTCATTCCCACCCCAAGTCCTAGTATTTTCCATTCTATTTTGTGCTTCCATAAATTTGCCTATTCTAAACACCTCCTATAAATGGAACATACAAATTGTCTTTATGTGTCTAGCTTATTTCACTTAGCATACATGTTTTCAAGGTTTCTTCATATTGTGGTGTGTATCAGAAATTTACTCCTTTTTATGGCTGAATAATATTCAGTTATATGTATACCCAACATTTACTTATCCATTCAGCTTTTCATAGAAATTTGGGATGTTCCTTCCCCCTTTGTCTATTGGAAGTGTCAGACTGTTTTTCACTGACTAAGGATTCTCATTTCTCCACATCTCCACACTTACAATTTTCTGTTTTTTGGAAAAAATTATACCCATTAGAGTAGGTATAAAGTGGTATCTCATTCCTTTTTCATTACTGAAAGTTTTCCTGTATATAAAATCTTGGCTGGCAATTTTTTTCTTGCTTTTTTTTTTTTCTTTTTTTTTCAATGCTGGGGGTTGAACTAAGGACTTTGCACTTGCTGGGCAAGTTACTCTACCACTTGAGCCATGACCCTAAGCCTTTTTGCTTTCGCTTTTCAAATTAGGGTTTCACATTTATGCCCAGACTAGCGTGGACTGTGATCCTCCTATTTAGCCTTCCCACATATATGGGCTGCCTAGCCTTTTTATTGGTTGAGATAGGTCTTGCAAACTTTTTGGCTTGGGCTGGCCTGGAACCATGATCCTCCTAATCACCACCTTGCAAGTGGCTAGCATTACAGGTGTGAACCACCACAATCGGAGGGGCTTATGTTTTTGCCTAGGCCACCCTGGACCTCATTCTCCTTTTTGTATGCCTCCTGCAAGACAGGCATGGCCAACATGCCAAGCTTATTGGTTTGAGATGGGGTCTTGTCCTCTTTTGCCTGCTGTAGCCTCAGACTGCCATCCTCGCTATCCCTGCTTGAGTAGCTGAGATCTGAGGCATGAGCCACCACACCTGGCTTTCTTTTGACGATGTCATTGCCTTGTAGCATGACTGGTTTTGGATGAGAAGCCAGTTGCTAATCTTATTGAGGCTCCCCTGTATGTGATGTGTCAGTTTTCTCTGCTGCCTTCAATATTTTTTTTCTGTGCCTTTTGACAGTTTAGCTGATATGTCTAAGTGGGAGTCTTTTTTATTTTTTGCTCCTAAGTTTACTGAGGTTCTTGGATGCATAAAATTGCTTTTCCACCAAATTTGGGAGTTTTTGGTTATTATTTTTTCCAAACACTGTTTCTTTCTTCTCTTTTGAGACTTCTGTTATGCATGTATTGGTTTGCAGGTCTCGGAGATGCTACTCATTTTTCTTCATTCTTTTTGTCTGGTTCTCAGTCCAGATATAGTCAACTGACCGTCTTCATGTTTCTAGTTCTCCTCCCATCCAAATCTGTCCAGCCTTCCTAGGCAATTTTCATTTCTGTTACTGTACTTTTCAACTCCAAAATTTCTATTCGGTTCTTTTTTTTTCATAATTTCTCTGTATTGATAATATTTATTTGATGAGGCACTATTTTCATAGTTTAAATTCTTTAGAAATTGCCCAGTTCTCTGCACACATGTATAATAACTGATTTTACTTATTAGTATTTGCCTAGTAAGTCTGAATGTTTGGTTTTCCTCACCTCAGCAACATTTCTATTGACTATTTCCCCCTTCAGGAAACAGGTCATATTTTGTTTCTTTGTATGTCTTCTATTTTTGTTGCTGAAAACTGGATATTTTTAATGGTAGAAAGCCATTCTGGAAATCATTTTCTCCCCTACCCAGTGTCTGTTGTTACTGCTTTTTTTTCTTTAGTGCTGTTGCATACTGATTCTGTAGACTTTATTATACTTTGTTCTTTTTGTCAGTTAATGACTAGAAAGACACTCCTTAGGTGGCTTGAACCCATGACTCTCATCTGTGTGTTGGGGCATGCTTCCAACACTTTGGCAGTTCACAACTCCACCTAAGTTTTCACTTTCTGTTTGTCCAGAGCCTCATGGTTAGCCAGAGGTGAGAGATAAGAGCCTTCCCAAGACTTCCCTGGACACCTGCACAGCCCTCATCATGCACACAGCCCTACACTTAAGTGTAGCCTTCTAGATTCCCTGGAGTATGTTGAGCTTTTCAAAGCCATTCACAGACATGTCATTCCCAACTTTTCCTTTTCCTTTTTCTGCTAGCCTTTGCTTAGCCCCAACTGGTAGCACCATGCAGACAGGCATAACATGGGAATGTTTTCAGCAAAAGCAAGTCCCTGGGAACAAAGCTGTTGCTGTTTGCACAGGGTGCAAGAGTGAGCAGTCAGCAACAGCACCAGTTCCCTAAGGACTGTACTTCGGCTTTGAACTTTAAACCCATTTTGCCCTTTCAGTGGCTGCTGGCTAGTTTTCAGCTACTGTACTTAAGAGTCTGTTGGCTTGCCTGTGTATCATGGGTGTGGGAGAGGGGCAAGAGGGAAATTAAAATGCTACCAAGCTCACTTCTGAGATCCAGCTGTTTTTCTTAAGTAAATCATCTTGTTGCCCTAATAGAAATATTTTGAATTCTTTATTTTGCCATTCTTAAAGTGTGCCATGCCAAAAAACTTATGATGCAGTTGAGCAATTAAAAAATATTTATTTAAAATCTTAGTATCATTAGGTGAGTGGACCTTTCAACCTGTGAGAAGCCCTGTTCTGTGCCTACTGCTGTGAACTACTTCTGGAAATATCTTCTGATTTAATTCCTATGTCCAGAAGGCTTCAGAAATCAGTTGTTGTCAGAACTCAAGATAATGAAAAGAATAAAAAGGATGGAGGCAAAGTTTGGAACTAATTTTCTTACCATAATAGTAGAAAAATATTTTACAATTGCTTATAAAGATAAAATCATGAAGATTGTTTTAGTAAATCTTAGTTGGGAGAATACCCCTTCTTTTCATGAATTATAGCAATCAAATTCCCATTCGAAGACTCAGATTCAAAGACTGATTCTCCCTCATACTGTGATTTGACTAAATGATGCTGTTTCTCAAACTGGTTTCATTTGTAAAATGGCCGTAATACTTGACAGAAGTGTGGACGGGGAAATACGATACAACATAGCTATTGAAGTACTTTTTTTTGGTGGGAGGACTGGGGTTGAACTCAGGGCTTCATGCTTGCAAAGCAGGTGCTCTATGACTTGAGGCAGGCCTCCAGTCCAAAAACTTCGAAATAGTAAAGTGTCATGTTCAGCTATGCACACAAGACTGAGTTGTGGTGTTATGAAAAGGGTTTGACAGTTGATTGAAGTAAATCCTTATTTAAATAAGGAGACATGTAATATGTAATTAAAGCATTTAACATAAAAATATTAAAAAAATAGAAAACACTTTACAGTTTCCTTTGGATTATATATAATTTTTGATTCTTGTTTTGTGTTTTTCAGAGGGTCTTGCTCTATAGCCCAGGCTGGCCTCAAACTCACAATCCTCCTGTGGTGGTTACAGCCCATGGGTCACCATGCCCAGTTTTGTAAATTTATGAGTTGATTTGCCTTTTAAAATTAGTTTTGAATAATCCAATGGTAAAACAATAAAAGGATACGTCAGAAGTCTTTTGCCCATCTCTCTCTTTTCTATCTTTTCACCTGTCCTGCTTTTTATGGGGGAAATACTTGTTTTCTTTCCTGCCAATATTATCTTTTTGGGTAGGACTGCGATTTAACTCAGGGTTTGTGCTTGCAAAGCAGGTACTCTACACTTGAGCCACCCTCTAGTTCATTTTGGGTCTGGTTGTTTTGGAGACAGGGTCTCATGATCTCTTTTGCCCCAGGATGGCCTTAGAACTATGGTCCTGCCCAATCTCAGCTCCCAAGTAGCTAGGATTACAGGCAATGAGCCCTGGGGCCGCAAATATTATCTTATTCAAATGTGAGAAAAATATGAGTATGCCAACATAGGCAATACTAAAGAAGC